GTTCCCAGGCACAGCTATTCACTATCTTCTGGAATGTTTAGGGATGCGCCAGCTTTCTCCGTTTATCTCCAGAGCGTTGCTCTGGAGACGAGAACACCGTCTTCACCCCCCTTCCTCCATTCCAGTCCATCACATTTAATTTGGAAATTCTGTACCGAGCAAAGCATGGGCTGGATGGGCCAAATGTCCACTTCCAACTCCGTGTTCATCCTCTGCGATACCCCATTTACAATCATGATAATGTGATCAGAGAACTGAATCTGCCCAGCTTCTGTTGTTTGCTTTATGCTGTGGAGGTGGGCTGCCCCCCTTCCAGTGTCAGGGTGTGGTTCTCCGTGCTTATTTTGGCTTGGGCTTCCAGAAGGACCAGACACTTGCCACCCTCAGATGTCTTGACTGGCCATTATGCAGGCTCCTTATATTCAGGTGTTTTGCACTCTTCTGGAAGAATTACAGATTTGTCTTAAAATGTGCTTAATGGCATTGCAAAAGGGCACTAGACCTGTCTACAAAAAAAAACACAAAAACAAAAAGGATAGCGCTATGATTTATTTAAACCATGAAAGAAGCCCTGTTGCTGCCATTGTTTCTTGTTGGTTATGTCCCGAATGAGCACATTATAGTTTTTCCACTGCTTTTGTATGGCTGTACTTTGTTTACTTCAGAGGTAGCCAGCACCATTTTGCACATTGCTTTGTGCACCCCAGAGTGCTGCAGGTCACAGCCGCCACTTCATTTTTTTCCAGCATTATTGATTATTCACAAGAAATTTGCTTGTTTCTGCTTTTAGCCTGAACTACAGATCAGAGATAGAGCTAAGGGGCATAGACTGGATCTGGGGCTGCCAGACACTTGCAGGACACTGACATTCCCTTGCAAGTCACTGATCACGCATCCTTATTCATGCCACACCTGACCAACAGATCAGTGAATGGGGGAGAGATGCAGGGTGAGTAGGAAAGAGTTCCCAGAAAGCTACTGCACATTTCAGCCTGCGCCCCTTCATCATGTGTGCAACCCAACAGCTGGGCTATTTTTTGGACATGGCTTTACCACTCTACTGGAAGAGCACTAGGAGACTTTTAAACAAATAGGCCTTACAGACTTGCAGATGGTCAGTAGACCCGTGTTCAGAAAAAGCTAAGTAACAGTTCACTGATGCAGAGAAGTTCCAGACCAGTGACTTGTCACTCTGGCACTTTGCAGGTTGGTTGAAGCCTCCTTTCGAGGCCCTGATCTACCGTTGTCCAAGCCCTCCCCATCACATGTAAAGGATGGCAACTGGTGGTGGGTTTTTCCCTGGCAGATGACACCAGGTTGAGGGAAAACCAGGCCCAAGGAATCTTGCTGCCCTTATGTTGTCCCATGTTAAAACTGGAAGGCCAGCAGCTGTTCCCAGGCCCATCCCTGAGGCTGAATAGAGCTCATGGGTGTGGGCAGTGCGATTAGGGCAGTAAACGTTTCTGCTAACTCAAGGACGGGAGGTGGTTCCAGTCAACGTGGTTCTTGTACACCATCTGGAAATCTGTTTCTTCGCAGGATAACGCAGAATAAAAAAAGGCAAAGGCATCAGATGGAATGTTTTGATTTCATTTCTCCAGCCATTTCACAAGTGTTTCCTAATTATTTTATGATACAGGAGTTCTTTGCATCAACTGTTCTGAGCCATCGTGAAACATGAATCCATTAATACTCGCACATATATCTACTTATAGACCAAAACTTACTGTACTTTTCCCTCTACTCCTGGGTTGGGTACAGCCTTACGTATTGCTAATTGGCCAAATGGAAAGGTATAATATCAGTGTAAAACCAAGAAATGTATCTATCAAATGCTTACAAGTTGCATCTTTTTATATGTCTTTTATGCTGTTGCTATTTACTGATGCTCCCCTGTTAAACACCTACATTTTTGTAAGCCTGTACTATAGATATAAGGTAAGAGGTTTGCAATCTAACAGATGACAACATAAAAGGAAAAGGGAATGAGGAGGAATGAGGAAAGCAAATACCCAGTCAATAGCTGCTTCCCAGTGGATGGGCCACATTAAACAGTTACTCTTTTCAAGAATTACCAGATTAGTATGGAGTACTTGTTTTGTCTTTGTGGTGTATATAATAGTGTTTGCACTATCTTAAATAAAATGGTGTGAAACTTGTCAGGGATTCCTTGTTTTCCCTTTTTCTTACAGCTTTCTATTGTCACTATTTTTAAATATCTATTCCTGGGCTGTTAACACTAGTATTAATATTTATGCATCTTTTTCATACTTTAATGTTGCTGACGTTTTGTGCAATGTTAGAAATATTTTAATTCTTCTAAATGGGTCACTGTGATAGGTTCTTTTGGGGGAATAGTAAAGACCGCAAATAAGGAGAATCATTTTTCTCTCTCTCTCTCTCTCTCTCTCTCTCTCTCCCTTTGTTGCACAGAGGGTTTACTATGCAAAAATACCCATTCCACTCTAAATAAAACCAATGATACCCACTTATTTCTAAATCTTATCATTATAAATTGCTGTGCGCCTATGGGTATAATTTTTATATATGTTATGTATCTACCTCTAAGGATTTTTTGCCACCGCTTCTATGACTTGTATAAACTCCACTTCTTTGCCTCCTCCCCGCCCCCCTTTCTTGCATGCCTACCCCTGTGTAAATTACCGGGCTCAGCTACTTTCCCTGCTGCAGATGGTGGAGAAACTTTGCAGCCTGAGTTCTGGCCACGCTGTGTTTGGCTGGTTTCATGGCAGGCTGGCTGGTGTTTTTAAGCTTTTTAGCCAAGTACTGGAGCTGCTATCCCGAACTGCTGGAGGGAATTTAGCATCTCCCAGCTGTTCGCTGTTGGCACTTCTGGAGAAGATAGCATGGTTTCCAGGTTCTGCCACTCCTGTCAGTTTTCTGCAGTTGAGCATCTGAAGCAGGCCCTGCTTTTTCCAGATCTCCAGTCATTCCCTGGACCCTGCAGCAAGTTGACTGTTCTGGCATTTCCTATTTCCTCCTCTCACGCCTGCAACTTTCTCTTTTTCTTTTGTCAAACACATGAATGTGTATTGTCCACTTTGGAAAGTGTATTTCCTTTATAGTAGGAGCACAGGGGTGCTCCAACAATTCAGCCTCAAAATCCATGGGGAAAAAGGGAGGAAGGGCTCTGGCAGACCACTGTAAGGCTCTGCTCCCACAGTTAATAATGTGAGCCAGTCTTTTGCCTTTTCCTGCCATTCACATTGCATAATTTGTGATCAGCCACATTAAGACACATCCAGCCTAGAATCTGGGTTTTATGGTGCTTGACAATGCTTCCCTTTTGGCAATGCCAGGCAGGTGCCAACCCAAGACGTTCAGATGGCTGATGGGCTGATCAAGCTGATCTAGTCTGTGCTGCAGGCAAGATGCGGGCAGTGGCTGGTAGAAGAGGCAAGCATCAACCGTAGGACTGTAGTGAACTGTCTTTGTTTACCATCTTGTACTCATGCCGTGATATCCACATAAGGCTGCAGTAGTCAGACAATCACTTACAGAAGCTCATCTTTTCAGAGAGATTGTGTACATGTGTGGGTGTAACATGGCAGAGAAAGAAACCACGCAACCTGAGCCAGCCGTGGTCACGCAATCTGCAGACGCAACATCTGTTCATTTAATTGCGTATTGATTATTTCTACTTTTGCCCTGAAATAATCCCCCTTTGTGTGTGTGTGTGTGTGTGTGTGTGTGTGTGTGTGTGTGTGTGTATACATAGATTATTATAAACACAGCCTGTTCTGTACATGTAGGGGGGGAAATGTAGTGATGGAGGTGTATCTGATTTTTGCAATATTTAGAGCTGTTCTTAGACGTTGGCTTAATGAATGAATCTGTGGACATCACTATTTCTTAGTCTTTGATTTCCATCTATAAAGTTTCATAGTAATTGAACCTCACAGAACAAAAAGGGAAATAGGGTTCTTGTGGATCCTGAGACCTAAGGCAGGTTGTATGACACAAATGCATTTCAGTGCTTCTGTTAATAATCAAAGCTGGATTTCCAAAGAAAAAGGAGAGAGGGAACATAGGCCAAGTACCTTAAAAAGCCCTTCTCTGTTGTTTCGTGTTAAATGAGAGCTATTTTTAGTTGAAGTGCACATCCTCCTTTTGTATATAAATTCACAGATCCAGGGACTGAATCTTAATAATGACAAGAGAATTTGAAGCTGAATCTTGGCAGAAATTAAATCTGACGTTTTAGGTAAAAGTCCAGTATATGAATATTAATGTTCAAACATAACCTTTCTTCCTTTTCTTTATTTATTTTAAACCAGATGCCTATCCCAATTCAGAAGTGATCTACGTGTGGACTAACACCTCAGCAAATTCGGTGGTAGTAGCAGAAGATGGTTCTAGGCTTAACCAATATCACCTGATGGGACAAAGTGTAGATTCTGAAAACATCAGTACCAGTACAGGTAGCAAAACTGAATTGTAGTATTCAATAAGGAAAGGTTTAAGGTTCATTTCTGGAACCTGCTAATGGGATGGCATATTTTCAAGATAAGTTACAATTGGTTGGTTTGCACTGTATGGTTGGTGTCCCTTTCTGTATGCCCAATATTGATAACTAAAATGAATTTTCCTCAGTATTTTCATGAATGTTCGAGTTTTACTTGAAAGGAGAATTGTGACCAGCTTGTTTCATTCATTCCTCACATTTGCGTATTTCTTTCATACCATTGATGAAGTTATCTTAGGCTGGTAACAAAATAATAAAACAGACAACATTTTTAAAAAAATCTACCTCAGTAAAATCAATAAACCGTAGATAAAACAAAAGCACAAATGCTACCATAGTCATTCATTCCTAAGTACCAAGTGAAATGGCATTTAGCTCCCTGGAATCTTTAGACAAGGTAGCATACAGGTACACATAAATAAAGAAGTAAGTATTTTATCACTCATAAAACTTAATCATGAAAAGTCAGCCAATTTGGCATTAGTTGTGCTTGTTTTGTAAGCTACATCACATTCATGGCATTTGCACAGCAAAGGGCCCATCTTGCGTCATCACTTAATGCAATTTCCTTTCCTTTCCGTCCCATCCTCAGATTACAGCAGATTAATAAAGGGAGAAGCATTTTTTCAGGCACTCAGTTTTTATTGTTTAGGACTATCCAGATAAGTGACAGAAGCAATACTTCACCATTCGTACTTTATCTGCCATAATTGAATTGTTGAACAGGTACCACTGAACGGTGTAGTGACAGGAAAGGTGACACAGAAGAACTGTTAGTGGCATTTGACTTGGGATATTTCATTCCTCTGTACAAGTTATCATGGGATACCTCAGAGTTCAGGTGATAATCGTGTGTATCATCCACCTACCCCAACGTGAAATCAGATTGTGATTCAAATTTCAATAAAACCATGATACAATCCCCATAGTATAGGTTTCACGTATTCTCTGTTTATGCTTCCTGTACCTACACAGATTTGTAACACGATTGCACAGTGTGACATTCCCTGGGCATTATGGTCTGATTTGCATGTTATTACTGTATTGAAATAAACAAACAGGAGATATGCATCATGCTGACTGCATTTTTTGAGATGCATGGTATTAAGGTATGCATTACTTTGGATGCAATTCCAAATTTGTAGGAACCGTGAAAATAACTCTTTAAAGCAGTTTCATCTTTTCCAGGATATGCAGTTGCCCTTGGCAGCTGCTCTGTGATCCCGGAGAAAAAAACTGGATGGTTTTAAAGGGCTGCAGATGGGTTCTCCATTCACATCACCACAAGCTCCGTGCTGTGTTTTTGGAATTGGATCTGAAGTGCTGCACAGCCCTGATAGATGTTGTCATTTAATTAGTACATGCTAAAATGATTTAAGCTTGATAATGTACCCAAAGGTAGCTATAGATAGGGTGGTTAATTGGAAATAAAAAGGTTTTATTATACTTAATCAATAGGATTATGCCTAGACGTAAGAAAAATTAAGGCCATCTAGAATAAAAGAACAAAGAACAATTCTCAGATCCTATTAAACTTGCCCCGTTTTTAGCCCCATAAATGGATTGTTGGCTGAAAAACACATTCATCAGACGCTGTATTCCTTTGCCTCTGGAAAACTCTGCCTCTTACATTCTGCTAAAGTACATATTTTCTGCTGGATAAAACGGGTGAAGCAGACAGACTGTCCAAGCTTGAAAGAGGCTCTAGGAGCGGAGGGCTCCTTTGCAGTTGCATAAACTGCTGTGTCTCCTACTAGCTTATTTTCCTACAGGAGCCAAGCAAGCATCTATAGATTAATTTCTTCCCGCCCCCTCAACAATATCTTGAATAAAAACTTTGGGAGAAAGGAGGAGGGAAAAAGTGGCAGCTGTTGCCTCGCTCTGTGGTCTGTCTAGGAAACCATGTGCCGGGAACAGGATGCTAGGATTCCCATTCGCCATACCTGGAAGAAAATGTGCTCAACCCGGCAGCACAACAGCCCTCGAGAGGCCTTCATGCCAGCCAAGCCATCCACTTGAGGATGTCAAGGCAATTGTTCCTTGCCATTTCTGGAGAAACGTGCTTGAAAAAAGACAGGGGATGGAGAGAAGAGGCGTAGGAGCCGGCTTACGCTCATTCTGCTTCTGAGAATGAAGGATCCTGGTAATTAGAGACAAAGCCCCTTGGCTGAGAGCTTGGAATCAGGTGGCTCCATGCTGTGTTTTCCTCTGTGGGCTTTGAAGGAATGCCAATAGATTGATGGAGCAGCCCAAGAAAACACTGGACTTATTTGCCATTTGTGGCCCAGGCTCCCATAGCACACCAGCAGGGTTCCCTGCTAATTTGAGACTTGGGGAGAAAGGAGGTCAGCTGCCTGTTATTCTGTAGAGAAAATAGATATTTAAGTGATTCGTAATAGACCCAGAGGCATGCATGTACACACACACACACATCCCCTTGAGTCTGAAAAGATTAAAGAGCGGCAGTGCTTAAAGTCTTGCCTGCACAATCAATAAATGAACAAACTGTTCCCAAAATGACAGCCCCCTGAGAACTCAGCTGGGTTTTCAGAAAGTCCACACAATCTCGAAAGTGCAAAAATAAAAAGAGAGGGGAGAAGCATTGAGAGAGATGGTGTAAACATCACAGTGACCTTAAAACAATCAGACTTAAGAGCACAATATCTCCCTTCCCTTCCTGTATTCCACAGAGCACTCTGAAATTGAGGAATCAAAAGCTATAGCACTAATTTTCTTTTATGAGTGGTAATGAGAGGGAGAGAAAGAAACCATTGCAGGTTATTCTAAGACCAGATCTCTACAGAGGAAAAAATACTGACCAGTAAAACAAGTTCATCACAAAGGATCTCTTACCAGTTCACCATCATAGCAGCATTATTCTGTGCAATGAATGGCAGCTCCCCTCTCACTTTCACAGTCACCAAGAGAAAAATCCAGAAGGTTTCCTGAAGCATCTCCTGGAGCTGTGTGGAGAAGCTTTCTAAGAGCAAGATGTCCACAGTGAATGCTCCAGACGGCCAGGCACTCATCCAGTTCTTAGCAGTGCTTATCAAGGCTGCTGGCTCACCCTGCGCTAAGGAACAGAAGAGATTCTGAGAACAAATCCAGAAGTTTATCCAGGAATTATCTTTCACAGAAGTTTCCTGAAGAATGGCAGGTGCTCAACATCAGGAGATTTTTTTTATAGCTTTGTTTTTTCTCCTCCTATTTTACTTTGCTAATGTCCCAGGTTACCTCTGATCAGGTTGAGCTCTGAATACAGCATGGATCACAAATAGTAGGACACAGATTGTAACCGAGGATTAACAAAATTCAAAAATCCGATTTTACAGGGAAAGCATTAGTCAGCTAAGGATTTTCTGGTCTTTAGCAAGCTTTTGGGATGCCTGTAATCAGGATTTCTAAGATGTTATTTCCTTTTCTGAAGCTGAGGAATATAAAAATAACACATACAGTTTGTGTATTTTGCTCGTATTTTTTTGTTACAATTTCTTATTTAAAACAACCGCCCTATAATTTATATATATTGAATCAAATCAAATCAATTTATTACAGTCACAGACCTGCATATAATTTATATTTTTCAATCCATGAACAAAATCACAAAAAAGAAAAAGAGATAAGATAAGGAGAATTTTCTCATTTTGTTTTCACTTTGCCTCCCACGTTCGACCCCTACATCTTCATCTTGGTCCAGCTAGAGAGAACCACCTCTGGAAGCAGTCTTCCACTTGCTGCAGGTTGAGAACTAAAGACAAATCAGTTTGCACCATGAAGCTTTTAATGCAGTATCCCTTGGTCCAGCTGGGAAACATGCTGTCCCATTTTGGGACCCTACCAGTTTGGGACAATCTGGTGCTTTAAGAAAGAAGAAGAAAAGTGATTCTGCATATCTTGACATGGATGAACATTCCTGGGCCTTCTTGCTAATTTTTGAATCATGTTGTTACAACAGAGGAGTGATTTTGTAAAATACAGACTTAGAGATGAGTTTTGGATTATCACTTCCATAATCCTTGGATCAGGCTGGATGGGGCTCATGGGATTTGTAGTACAAAATATCAGGATCATAGGTTTTTAGGTGTGGTTGCCTTATTTCACAGAAGTATTGATACAAAAACAACAGGAAAATCCACATTATACTGCTTAACTTTTCCTAATAATCACTTTATATGCATATCTTCCTATAGATGACCTTCCATAAAGTACACTTTTTTAAAAATAGAACTACCCCAACATACAGTTCTTTATTTTAATTTGTCTTAAGCATTTTTTTGTATGGATCTTTTCCCATTTTTAATGTATGTCTTTCCTAAATACATACTTTCTTGTGAAAAATCTTGAGGTGCCCATCTGTGCTAAAGCACATGTTCTGTCAGATTTTATATTTTTGTCCTATTAAGATCTGAATGTGTATTTGTGTATGTGTTTTCTGTTTTTTACATTTTTTACATTTTAGTATACAGTAGATCCAGCATATTGACCGTTTCACCCAAACATTTTATTTTCATTAAATAGGCAGCTTTTATATACTTGTTCTTGGAATTTAGACATCTAATGCTGTTGTGGAGATATTACATACTCTTCTATCATAATATGATTTGTAGTCATAATATGATTAGAAGTCATGATTTGTAGTATATTGTTCATGGCAGGTCCCCACTTATACGCAGCCATGTCTGGTCATATGTCGAAGACAATGATCAGAATTCTGTCTCCATGTATTTGTAGCCAGACTACATGGAAAGAAAAGAATGGCACCTGAGTTTAAACAGTCATTGGATCAGTGTGTGCTTGGGGGTGGGACAGGTCTGTCTTATACAGCATTGTAAATTGTAGGGCTGCAAATGCTTTTAAAGAGGTGCTTCACAAAACACAAGAGCACTTTATATTATTAAAGCAACTGCATCTTTTCCCCAGACTTGCATGTTGCTGCTTCCAGCTGCCTCTATATTCAGAGCAAAGGGGCTTCTTTAATGATTCAGAGAGGGCTCATTCAGGCAGACCTGAAAATTTGTTTTCTCCCATGTAAAGTGCTGTCTCCATAGCATTCCTCTTACCATACCTCCAAAATGAGGCTGCCATCACCACCTGAAGTGGTTACTGATGCTGCTGTTGAGGGCTGTGGTAGTGCTTTCATAACTCTGTTGTAAATATGCCCCCCCCCCTTCAGTGAACTGTAGAAAAGCAGACTTGGTGTCAATCACCAGACTGCTAAATGTTGCAGCCAGCTCTGGTACTATCACCACCATAAGCCCGACCACCCTTCCTTTCCATGATGTCAGCCCTTTGAGGTAGTCCAGACAGGAAACCAAAACCATGAGTGCTAATACTACCTTTATTGTAACGTAATCTTGCAAGTCTAAAAGCACTTCCCCCCTCCCCTGCCTTTACTTTCTAGAGAGCTAGGGAGGGTCCCTTCTGAGACACTTTCTCCTCCCATTCGTCCTCTGGACTCAGATCTCTCTTATCAGACCATTGTCTAGGCTGTAGCTCTTCCTCCTGTCTCCCAAGGTTCTTCTCACCACCCATTACACATGGCTACTTTTTGGTGGATGCAACCAATGGCAACCAGGGAAAGTGAGTGCATCCACCTCACCCAGGGCCTGACCAACCCTGAACTCCCCTCTCTTGCTGGCCAGCTGGGTTTTTCAACTTCCCTCTGGCTCCTAAGCATATCCACAGCATTTTACCCCCTGTAGCCAAGCAGCTTGCCAGGAGGAGAGCATTGTGAGGTCCTGGAGGTAGAAGCCAAATCTGAAGCCTATTCCCTTATTTATATAGTGTATAAATGGATATACACAATACTGACTTAAAGTTGCCAGGTAAGGTTCTTCTTTCTCCAGCAGCCAAAGCAGCAATGGCTGGGAAGGGGTGGTCCTCCAGTGGGCCAGTTAAAACCCAAGAATTGCTGATCCACCAAAGACTCCTCCTCTGTGTGATACAGAATATTTACATAAGAGGTTTTCTCCCATTTTCTAATAAGAAATACTACCTTCCTGTATTGCAAAGCATCTCTTTGAAAATATTTGCCCAGCTCTGGTATATCATTGTATTTCCTTGCCACTATTGGACATAGAGAAATAATTGAGATTAATCCAGCCTTCCAGAACCTGCACTAGAGAACAAGTTTCTAAATAGTTAGCTCCCTTTACCATCGGTTCACAATAGCTGCCTGCATTCTATGGGGATATACAATTATAAGAGAAAGAACTTTTCCATGGAATCATCATGTTTCTCAAATGGGTGCCCTTGAAATGATTTCTTGGGGCAGTACATCTACAGGGAGCCTTAACATATAGAGTCACTAACACAACGATCTTCTGCCCATGCAGAGAGATCCCAGCAGCACTGATTGGCTTACTGCTAGGAATGTGCTACAGTGGCGTAAAGACTCTACGTGAGCTGTGTTGTCTTCCATCATAAATAATCCATATGGCATCCTCATTTAAGGAAGCTCTTTCGTGAAAGCCTTCCCTGCAGTCTCAGCAGTGGGCTGTAACATGTACAGTAGGTTGAGAAGTCAGTGTTCTTGTTGACAAATGTGCAAGTAGCAAGTTAGAGCCTCTGGTGTGGATTATTTATCAAGCTTGGATACAAGGTCTGTGACTTCAAGGCTCAGAAATAAGTTCAGGTATAGAGGTTTAACCTCTGGGGAGGGGAAAAACAGATTTTGTGAATCAATCTCCAGTTCCCCAGCCATTTGCTAGCATGCAGCTTAGTGGCTGATGATACACATCCTCAAATCAACATTCGGTTTGGGCTATTCTAGTGCTCCTGAAGTGGTTTGTGGAGAAACTACTTAAATGGAAGGAGTTATTATTCTGTTTTTTTCTTGCTAAGACACATCTTCATCTTTTCCTGCTTAGGGGAATACACTATAATGAGAGCACACTTTCATCTGAAAAGGAAGATTGGTTATTTTGTCATCCAGACTTACCTTCCTTGCATTATGACAGTAATCTTATCCCAAGTATCGTTTTGGTTAAACAGAGAATCTGTCCCTGCTCGAACAGTCTTTGGTAAGTATTCTCCTTCTTCCTTAAGCGAGCCTTTATTCTAGGATTTGCAAAGCCTACCTTCCTTTGCAATAGGAATGCAGGGGAATCTCCCAGGAAGGAGGCAAATGCTTACTTCTTCCTGCCGGCAGATTCCCCCTGCACCTATATCCAATCCCAGGCACTTTATCGCTTCCTCCTCCTTCCCCCTCCAAGCAGGATACAAAATGAGAAGTAACTCTAATACTGTAAATCAATTCATGTCCAATACTTTACCTGCCTTTTTTTTCCTTCATAAAGAAATTGGAACATAGAACAATATAGGTATTGTAAAATAGCATGCAGTGTTAACAAAAGGATAATCTATATCAGTGTTTTTCAACCTTAGCAACTTTAAGATGTGTGGACTTTAACTTCCAGAATTCCACAGCCAGCATGCTGGCTGGGGAATTCTGGAAGTTGAAGTCCACACATCTTAAAGTTGCCAAGGTTGAAAAACACTGATCTATATCAATCAGTCTGTAGTTCAGTGTAGGTTACTTAGGAAGTCTAGCTATCAGTAAGGCCAAATTTCAGGTATACAATCCAACAACCAGGTTACAGAAGTGATAATGCAAGTTTCAACTATGCAGGGTCACCTCCCTTCCTTTTCTGTGGTCTCTTTTGTACAGTTAACTGTCTACAGATCACCCAGGTCAATCTCTTTCAAGTAAGTGCCCTCCAGTTATATTGGAGCAAATCCCAGAATTCCTACCTTCTTTTTTCCATGTGACTGCATCTATTTAAATACAATGCTGTCCTTGGATACTTCAGGCAAGGCATCTAATCCTTCCAAGGGGACAGGTTAATACATAATAGGAAGCATTCTGTCTGCCCGATAGGGTAGACTAGACTAAGAATAGACACCATGCTGACCTAAAGCTATTTTTATTAGAACAGCTGTAGTAACAGAATCTTGCAAGTCTGACTGTGCTTCCCTCCTCCTTCACTTTAGTTTTATGTGAATTAGAGAGGGGTCCAGTTGAGGCGTTTTCTCAGATTAGTTTCTTGGGATGGACTTAAACCACACTTACCTGATCATTGTTTTGGTAGTGGATCCTTCCACTGTCCTTCAAGGTCATTCCCTGTTCCCTCTACACATTCACTTTGAAGGTGACCCCTCTGAAAAAGTTTTAGACCTTACACATTTTAGGGTAACTTCTAAATATCTCTTTCTCTCTCTTGTTTTTAAAGGAGTGACTACAGTTCTTACAATGACAACCTTAAGCATCAGTGCCCGTAACTCTCTACCCAAAGTGGCTTATGCTACTGCGATGGATTGGTTTATAGCTGTGTGCTATGCCTTTGTCTTTTCTGCCCTGATTGAATTTGCCACGGTCAACTATTTTACCAAAAGAAGCTGGGCCTGGGATGGCAAAAAAGCTTTGGAGGCTGCAAAAAAGAAGGTGGCTACTACAATTCCTTGAAGTAGTTTATTAAATATTGGGGGGAAGCGGAATGTCACAAGTTTTGTAGCTATCCTGTTGGATTTTTTTCTCCATGGCCTGTTCTGATATTTACATTCTTCCACCGCCCCTTTCTGGATTATGGGTTGTCCTCATTGTTATATTATACCGTTAACTGAATGAACATATCTGCTGCTCTCAGTGGTTCCATGGTTTTTTAGCCACTGGTGACTGCAAATTGTGTATTTGCATTCTAATAAACCATGAGAAGTAAAGAGACAAAACAAAACAGGGCATACTTTATATTATATACAGTAGCAAGAAAAGTCCATGGAGGATTTTATGGAGGGCACAAACAATCGATGGATCCTGGCTTGCATTGGGGGAAGGGAAAGAGCAGGAAGCCAAAAGAAAGGGAAATGAGAAGTTAGGGCAACAATATGAACAAAAGCAATCCCATGTTCTTAGACTTGGTTTCATATGGAGTTGAGGACCAAGAGACTCAACCCAAATGTTTAATAAGAGCAGTGGGAAGCTGAAGTAACATAACTTATGTTCTGAAAGGAGATTCCACACCTAATGGATGGTAAAAAAGAACTTTCTCTTTTATTCTTTCTGGATTTAATTGCTAAGATAAATCCTTCATCCCCAACCTGACAAACCATTCTCAAAGCGCATTTAACAGTGTGTTAAAAACCTGCTTCCCATGTAACCAGAATGGCAACGATTCTGTCACTAACCCTCCATGTAAAAATGTGTCTTTATGAAACCATTCTTACAGACTGTGCCACCATTATGCTAGCAGAATGGAAATAGGTTTACCCATTTAATAAACTAGGACCTTGTAAATTACACTCAAAATGATCCAATCAAATATTCTAGTATATATAACCAGAGATTGCAGGGACTCTGTGTATAACTCATTTTTAATGACCCAAGGATATCTTTTTAAAAAACTATACTTTTCCATTGTTGTTATGTTTCTGTGTGTGTGTGTTTTTTTTCAGAAAAAAGAGCGAGAATTATTGGCAAATAAAGCCATAAACACATATGCTGTTGGAAGGATGACACCCACATTAAACATACCAAAGGACTCCACCCCTTCAGCCATCTCTAACTCTGCTTCTGCTCCAGCCATACCCATTGAGAAACCAGCTGAAAACAAAAAGACCTATAACAGCATCAGTAAGATTGACAAAATGTCCCGAATAGTTTTCCCCATCTTGTTTGGAACATTTAACTTAGTTTATTGGGCCACGTATTTGAACAGGGAACCTGTCATTAAAGGTGCTGCTTCTCCAAAATAAATGGAAGGACTTCCAGATCAAGCGTTAGCCATACTTGCAAAAACAAATGCTACCAAGGAGAATTTAAGGTTCCAAAAGATTTTTGACCTTTGGGCAATATTCTTCAGGAAGTTTTTGCATGTTTAACAATATGTACAAAATTATTCTTGCCTTGATTATTTCTACATGTAACCTCAGATGTTTCTGACAATTACATAAATGGCAGCAGACACTAATCTTTTTAGGACAACAGAAGACATGGAACATAGCTTCTATGCTGCTGGGTATCCTGCATTGATAGTTTACAAATGAAATAGGGTATATTTTTTAAACTGTTTGGGCATATAGCATATCTGCCGTTTTTTATACTTTGAATGTACATTCATGCACATAGTGGGACTGTGAACTTTGCAACTGCAGAGATGTTCTTACAAGCTATTTCAGAATTTGTCAGTGCTGGAACACTCTAGCTCATAGTCATGCTGTATGCACAGGAAGTGGATTAACAGCATCTCTTAAGAGCACATGCCCACAAGCAAGTTTTGCAGACCCCTGAAGTCTACACTCCTCCCCTGATAACTTGGATGTATGGAACAGCTCAAATGTCACAGGCACAGATTTCTTTTTGCCTCTGAACGCAGCATTTTTTTAATGAAGGCCATCTACACTTTGAAATACAAATCTCTGAAAACTGGACTAGTTTTCTAACCCATTCTCTGTCCTCAGCTTTGATATCTGGTAGCAGTGCTCAGTGTGTAAAATTGTCTAACAATTGATACAGATGAGGACTGCTAAATATTACTGGTGCCCGTGACATATATGCCACAGGGAACCTGAGCCCTGTGATGACTGCCATGGGTAGACTTTTCTGGATAACGTCATAGAATGCAAGGTGTTCAGCAATGTACAGGAATTGGCCCTTCCTTTCTTTGCATTGTAAACTTGTGCAGGTTTTGTCGAGCCAGATGTAGCACTTTGTATCTGTACATCGGCCGCATTCCCTCGATTCTAGCCCATGCCTTGCCGTATGAACGGAGTGATTTGCTGCAAATCTAGTGGTTGCCTCCTTAGTGGCTTGTTAGCCCCAGAAGGCTCAGGTAGCTTCAGAACCTAGGACTTTGAAACAGTAGTGGCCTAAATGCACAGTTGTGCCTGAAATGCAAGGCAAAGACCCTCTCCCATTGTGCCCCATCTGGACTGGTTAATTCAAGCAGACTTCTGTAAGGCCAGTCCTGGCAATAACGCCGTTGTTGCCTTCTCCAAACGCCTCCCTAGTTCACCCATTTCCACAATTATTCTTTGCCACTCTGAGAATTTCACAATGGCCCCATGGCTTCCCTTTCCAGGCCACTTAAAACAATTTCAGGTTTTACAACAAGCCACATCAGTGACAGAGGTCAGTCATATCTAATTTAGCACATTTAGCTTCTTCATTTGACTTTTGATTGCAGTGAAACAGCAGGGTACTACAATATATGTATGGTTGTATTTATTTTCCCTGTCTATAAATTGCTTCTCTGCCTTCTGTTAATGTTCAAACTAAAACATTAAAAAAAATGCAACATGCTACAGTCCATATGAAAAATTCATATAAAACTGTTAATCTGTTCCATAGCAATAAAAGGATACTACAATGATATCACTAGTATCATAGCAGACCACAATAAACGCAACAGCAGGAACTGTAATTGATTACCTAGATCTTATAAATGTGGTAGGTTTTCAAAGTCTGGCAGACAAAGGAAGGTTTATTTATTTATTTTATTTATATCTTTTTAAAATTGGTATAGTGCTCTTCACCTCAAGCTATAAAGCAGTTTTAAAGTTGAATACAAAACAACAGTGAATTAAAAGAATGTTAAACCAGTTTACCGATTTACCAGTCTGCCAAAATCACCCACAGAATCTGAATTTTATTAGCACATAAAAACAAAAGCATAGTTCATTAAAGCCCTGACAGTCTTCAAAAGTTTAGTAGTCCTGCATGAAGAATACATAACTGCTTGTTGCAAAAACTGATTTATATAAATTGACAGATCTCTGCATACAGATACACCAAAATGTGAAGCAGAAAACAACATTGTTTTAACCTGGAATTGTTTATCCTGGTATTAGAATGAAATCATGCAGAGAACAAATTTGTTGCTCTCTTTAATGATAGTGGGAGTGTAGTGGTTAAGGCACCGGGCTAGAAACTGGGAGACTGTGAGTTCTAGTCCTGCCTTAGGCACACAGCCAGCTGGGTGACCTTGGGCCAGTCTCTCTCTGCCCTAGGAATAAGAAGGCAAGGGCAAACCACTTGCAAAATCTTGCCAAGAAAACTGCAGGGGCTTGTCCAGGCAGTCTCCAGGAATCAAGATTGACTCAAAGTTGTGCACACACAAAGACAGCGGACTTCTTTACACAGACTCCATCATATCGAAAATGTGCAGGACCCTATTATTTTTGCCTTTTACTGTGTTTCAGTGACACTCGGGCAGGGTGGGAGGCCTTTCATTGATGCCATCGTCCCAGGTTCTCAACCACTGTGAGAACGGGCATCATGATATCCATGGAGCTGTTTTAAAATGCACTTGCTGAGAATCTGTTCACTGATTACTTGAATTTTAAGGCCATTACCTACATACCCATTAGGAAAGTGAGGAATTTTGCCTTTCAGGGAAATACAAACTTTGGTTCGAATTTAAGCTGCTTCCTGGCCTCTTAATCATCACTGCTCCCAAACAGTCATATATTGCATGAGATTACATTTTAAAAGTAGACTAGAACAGTACCCAATTTTAAAAAGTGGCTCTTCGTTTTTATAAGGAAAATACAAACATTTTTAGAACATTTCCCTCTAGTGTCCTGACAAAAGCCTTCTACTATGTTTCTACTATAATAAATAAAAAGAAATGAAATTCTGTTTCAAAGCTCTTTCAATCAACTTCACCAGTATTTGGTTTGGTGCCATGCCTTTTGGATAACTTATATTGCCAATATTGTTTGCTTTGTTTGTGAATGATTAACTTGCAGTCCTATACACGTATACCTGGGAGTAATTCCCACTGAGGTCCGTAGGGCTTACTTCTGAGAAAACATGGAGAGGATTACTTTGGGAGGCTATAGTCCTATGTACACTGAGTTAGAAGTGAACACAACATTCAGTGAGATGTACTTCTGTGTAACTATGCCTAGTACCAGGCTGCGTATGTAATTTGAGTTTTATTTCAATGTTTTTTTTCCCTGCATAGAGACATTGCTTCACAAGCTTTTGTAATTTTATCTTACTGTTTAAATTAAAAAAGAAAAGAAAAGAAACAAAAAGACAGTTTCAGAATGTCATCTTTTACTAAGTTTATTTGCCAGGAGAACAAGTAGGTCATGCCACAAATGTTGTAAAGCGGAATATTTCCATCCCCTTTCAACAGTCTAACAATATTCCTTGGGGATGGAACACTCTAATCCACACTGGACACTTTTGGAGGTCTTTTCACTCCCTACCCCAAGATTGTTGTACTTCTGCAAATGTTGGTACTGTCTTTCACCAAGCCTGCTGATACTACCTTGTGCTAGATAGCGAAGTTTTGGCTACCATAAGCAAACAGGTCCCACTTGTTCTTTTTGCACACTGGGGTCATGATTCAGTTGATCACCCATGGATATCATTTGGAACCCCAAATATCTTAGGAGCTGAATTATCTGGCCAGGAAAAGGACAGGAACAGAGCAGTCTCCTGGATTTATTCACTTATTAACCTATTCAAGATAGCCAAACAATGTAAGTAAAAAATCAAAAACAAAGCAGAATGTTTAGAATATTATTGTAATTGCACTAATAAAAGAAGCAGTACCTACCCAACTCAGCAGCACCCTGATTTACATAGCAAAGGTCCACCTGCCAGCAAAAGGATAAGAGAAAGGGCACTACCAAGACCTCCAGACCAAAGATTTCCAAAAGTTCCTGGGAGCAACTTCTAAGAAAACTGTCATGGATTTCCATTAAGCAGTTGCCTGAGAGTGCAAAAGATGAGACCAAAGAAAGGTTCTCATCTTAAGGGCTGAAAAGCACCAGTTAACTTAAATGGGGAATACAGTCTTTGAAATAGCCTGGGCTCGAGCTATATAGGATTTTAAAGGTGCAAACCATAAAGTATACTTTGAAACACTGATGCGGTTTTAACAAGGAAGATTCTGTGATCCCTGTTACTGGTCATGATCTATTGTCTGACAGCAACCTGCTGAATTACTTGAAGTTTCCAAATATTGTTCAAAGAAAGCCCCATATAAAAGCCCCATTGCTACTTATTCCAGTCAGGAAAGAACTAAAGCATTGGTCTCTTGGATACAAATAACATACCATTCTTAGTTGTGTAAATTATATTCTAGACTACCACTGAAATCTGGGCCACAGGGTTAAGGACTAAATCAAGGGTCACCTTACCTATGGAACTGACTTTTCAAAGTGAATGCCTTCCAACACAGATGGAACCCTTATTCCCTCTATTTGCATCTTTGTTTGCTCTCAGCAGCATCAGGCACTAATTAAGGATTAGAATAATTTCCTTGGATTTTACAGCACCAAATGCCGAAATGTTAGACAGCTTCACCAACAGCTTCATGCATATTTAAATAACATGAGAGGTATTATGGATCCCTGAGGGTCACCATAAGCTAATGGTCATTGGGTAGGATAGGAGTCCCCCAGTTGCTGAAATGGTCCTTCCAAGAAGGACCAGAGCAATGTCACTAGCTCCTGTCTCACTCAAACAGATTAAAAATCTGGCAAACAGATATTCATCCCATCTTGTTTCCAGCATAGAGTGTCGACTAAGGTGACAAAATCTGACTGACAGCTGGACATGATAGCTGAATATGAAGCCACAATGAATAAACTTAGATAATCCATGTCATTCAGATACCTGCAACTGAGAAATAACTATATTCTTCAGCATTTTGTCCAACAATGGAAAATTAGTGACTGGGTAGAATTATCAAACATGGTTGGGTTCTGGGAGGGATTTCATTAAAAGTCAAGTCACC